ACATCAGCTGCTTGTTAAAACAAAAATCACAACAACAAAAACAACAAAGATTGGCTTGACCGAGAGTTTTGAGTCACGAATCGAGAGACTTGAGTCACGAGTCTTGACTCGCGAATCACGAGTCTTGAGTCGCGATCCTTGAGTTGCGAGTCTTGAGTCACAAGTCGCGAGTTTGCGGTCGCGAATCTTGAGTCTTGAACCGCGAGTCTTGAGTCGCGAGTCTTGAGTCGCGAATCTTGAGTCAGGAGTTGTGAATCACGAGTCAAGATGACGCGAGTCTTGAACCGCGAGACTTGAGTTGTGAATTGCGAGTCACGACTCGCGAGTCTGGAGTCGCGAATCTTGAGTTGCGAGTCGTGAATCACGAGTTACAGATCGTGAGTCTTGAACCGCGAGTCTTCAGTCGCGAATCTTGAGTCGCGAATCACGAGTCTAGATGATGTGAGTCTTGCGTCGCGAGTCTTGGTACCTTCTTGCCAACTAACAGAAGAGCATTTACTTGTTCTACCCGTCACAATACAGTACGTCATTGCCATAGATAGATCATCAAAGATCAAGTTGTCATAATAAATAACATTTTTACTACGAAAATTAATCATACTAGTAAACTACTATGCTGCACTCGTAACACGACCAGTAACTTGCAGTTGTCCTACAAGTATGGCAACCTTGTCCACCTAGCGTGCAGAATTATTAAAGAGTATATTAAAGAGCTGTTCTTCTAGTGCACGTGAGTTGTTCTACTCGTAGGTAGAATTGTCTTACTTGTGAGCACTCTTTCTTATACATGGATGGATTTCAGTGATAATGAACACATGCTAAAACGGCTTTCCATACTGACGGTGTCTACGTAGTGATAAAGTGGTTAAGGAGCAAGTTTTTCCTAAGGACAAAAAAAAAAAGATGTCTCTCAGAGAGATTGTAACAATACATATATTCTTTTATTAGCATGTTACATGGCAATAAACACAGGAGTTTCATTTAAGATTCTGCGTGTCTACCCCAAAAAAGTTACACGACATGGCTAGTCACATTCAAATACATTAACATTGATTTTAAATTCTCTTTTGAGAATATAATCTCGTTTAATTTTACTACACAATCTTTATTTATTTATTTTTTAAGAAACTGCAATTACCCTATGCCATAATAAAGTTAAGTAAAATAGACAAAGGTGCGACATTGCTGTTCCTGAATGCTTGATTGAATCTCAAGTACAAATGCCATCGTGAACATGTTTCGGATTGAATTCTTGCACTTTTAGGACTTGCTGATTTCACAACAATTTGTTGTTGAAACATCACGGTGTATATATACACACACACACACACACACACACACACACACAGGACATAAAGAAAGAATCAGATCGGTTGATCACCCTTCAACTTTTGCTCGCCACATGCCCGGTGTCAAGTTCAGCGGTGGTGAGGTGTCGAACTCCAACCTGCTTGGACTGCTCTCTAATCGCAGGGACACAATTGGACATCCATGTTTGAAGGAACATAAAAGATGGATGAACTGATTCTATCGGTCATACGGTCTTCCTGTTCTCAGTGCCATCCGTCCACAAACACGCATGGAAGGTTAATTGAAGACTTGACATTTTTATCTCTATGTGCCCTGTGATTGACGGGCAACCATCTCAGGGTGAACGCTGTCTTGAGTCCACGGTCAGCTGTGGCTCCCAAGCAACCCTGAACAGGATACTTGGCAGAAAATGCACGGGTGGACTGAGATTTCTTTTCAGGAGGTCAATTTGGCGTTTGGGTCAGATAACATCGTCATCATCTTAATAACTTGATGATTTACAAAATAACCTATAGGTGGTAAATTGACATTTCCATGATGAATATTTTCATGGTTTCTGTGGCACAAAAAGAAAGACACCAGTCTTTGCTGAGAATAACCATCAGTGCATAATGAAAGCATACAACCTCTTAGCACATCACATTTGTGAACTATACACACACATGGAAATTGATTTACCAGCCACAACATTACTAGCACTCCTACAGAAACGCAAACAGGACTGCATCAAACATTCAGCCTGTACCGAAAGTAGTAACGTTTAATTTTGATTGACGGTTAGAGCGGCATTACAGTTTTTCCTCTGTTGGTTTTGTGCATTTGTCAGATCAGAATTGAATTCCTCACGAGTCACTTGTGAATATCAAAAAGGCAGTTCCTCGTTTCTTAGAACGAGTTGCAAATGCTTTCTCACATACACACAAAATGATTATGTGCACTTCTCTGCTGTTTCCGACATTATCAATCGCTAAAGTCATGTCGGGCCGACACGGATTAGAAAGGGTCTCTGTTGAATTTGTCCCTGTCATGTAGCTAAAAGACCATGAGAAACCATATTATTCATCCCTGACACCGTGTCAATAAAAACGAAGGGCTATTTTCTTTGTGCATCCACAATTTGTGCTGTATTCTGATCTTGTATTAGACTGTGCGAGTTGTCGTTCTGTTGTGGTTGGTCTATTCAGCTTGGTAATATGCTAGGATGTCACTTGGGGAGTTTTTTTCAGATTTTGTTCCATGCAAAAATTGCAAATGGGAAATTCGACGTTTTCTTTGGTTGTCTATGTGGTCTCTGACTGCAAGATCGATTGTTTGGCTATGTCACTTTTCCTCCTTGACGGACAAAAGTCAGCTTTCCTCAGCCCAAGTGAGGCAGTGAAGTGAGCAGGATGGACACAAGGACATGACTGTTGCATTATGAATGAAGCGTATTTTTGGAAAGTGAAACGTCACACTTGACTAAACATTAGAATTCCAGTTACTCTGTCTGTCAAGAGTTTTTTTTTTTTTTTCTTGCTTGGTCAAAAACAAAAACGTGTGAGATGATGAAGACATTTAAAAAAACCAAAAGCTCTCTCTTGCAAAGGTGCTTTGTTGATATTTACACGTGCGAATTGTCATTTCAATGTTTTTGTACAGAACAAGCTCCAAATAGTTTGAAATCAAAACCGGAGCGGACAGCTTTACACACCCCACTATCAAGCCAGCGTAAATACACAAATGCTTTACAGTACTTTGAGTTGTCACAACAGCGGAAATGTGACCAAACAGCATGCAAGTGACTTGAGACGAACACAAGGTTCGGTGAAATCAAGAAACACAACAGCAACGGTGACTGCTGCTTGACGTGTAAACGCAGACGTGTCGAAAACATTTTGAAATGGGGTGTGGAGGAGATGTGATGCTGGAATCGTATGATGTGAAGAAACATTCTATTTTGCTGCTCTCACTTTGAATTCCTACAAGCGTGAATTGACATTGCACTTCACATGTAATTTTTTTTGCGGGGAAAAAAAATCCTACAGACAAAAACAAACTTCCAGCCTTTCGTTATTTGCTTGAACGAAATGATTCATCCAGTTGAAGAAGTTACATATCAAAGGCAGAAAACACTGGTCAACAAACACATTTGCATTTTGTTTTTAAATCAGAGATAAAAGTAAGCTTTTTTTTGCGCGAATTCCAAATCTGCCCTTGTTTTGTCTATAGCAGATCATGTTTTCATCATAATAAAATACGACTGGAGTAACAATAATATAATATGTTACATGTTTAGTCATATTTTTGAATAAGGGTTAGCTTTAACAACAGGTGGATTTTTTTTTCTGAAACGTCAGCTCATTCCATACATGGCAATATTGGTATCGCGCAAGCTTTTATCAGTCAAACTGAATAAACAAATGAAAATCTCAAAAACCTGATTTGGCAAGAAAAAAAAGGTAGACATTTTTTTTTAAATCAGTAAATAGCTTTTGAAAATATTCCTGAATAAAAATGAATGAACTCAAACCGATTGAAGTCAGTTTCAAAAGTAGGTTAGGGACACATCAATCCCATAAATCACATACACGTTGACCAGTGTTGGAGTTCACATCATGTGGCAGTACAGAAAAACATTTCAGTATCACAATGAATTTTCTGAGGAATTTCACAGATTTCTTGAAAAAAAGAAAAAACGTAATGAGAAAGTCATTCATCGGGTCCTACATTTTGATCTGTAACATTATCGGAGAAAAGTCATGAGCTAAATGTGCGGGTTCAAGCTGCCTGGAAGTGAAGGCCAATGGCCAAGGGCCAGGTTGGATGCTCGTCAGACAGACAACGCACACGAGTTACTTCATCACAGAGGAATACCAAATGTGAATATGAACTGTACATTAAGTGACATTAGGACCTCTGAGTATTTCTTTCAACCTTTTCTCATGAGAATCTTTAAGGATGTGGTCTAGTTCGTTTGGGATTAAAAGAAAAAAAAATGATTGACACGGACGGACCCGCAGAAACTGTTGAAAACGGCATGTTTTCCATGCCTCGTAGTAGATGTTGATGTCATTTTGCAAAGTGACACTCTACTCACCACCTGTCTTCCTGGCGCCCTTCATCGTCATATATGTGCCTTTCAAGTTTGATGAAAGTAATGTCGTCCCCCCACTAAACGCATGCTATTGATCAGCACCGTTTTTATTTTGGTTTTAAAATACTTACACAAACACACATGCATGTCTTCCTTTTTTTTTTTTTTTTGCGATTACATGTGATGATAAAACAAAAAAAGTTCAAAAACTTGGATACTTTTTAAAATTGTTACATTTTCAGGTACCAGAACAAATGTATACTGGACCTGCCCTTGAACTTCTTCCAACTTAAAATATCTTGGAAGCGGCAGATGACATTTCTGTTTCAGGGAAATATTCAACTGCTTGGCATTTTATCTGACACCCCACTCGATTCTCATGAGAAGAGATTGCTTCGGATGTTTGCAAGAAAACAGGGAGCTGGAAAAAAGGTCGCAAAGTCACAAAATATGGATGTTGGCATTCATCACCAGATCAGTTTGGACTCTGAATGGAGTCGACTCCATCTCCATATGACAATACGAACGCTGCATCATGAAACTATCTCTTAATATCACTTCATGTAAAATTTGGCAGATTATCCCAACTCATTCATGCAATCCGAGGACTCTTCAGTTCTTCGAGAGACAAACGATTGTTGGCATCCTCCTAAGTGGAATATCTGTGCGTTCGATTCCATCAAGACACAAGAAGACACAATTCAAAACCAGCCACAGAAAGCTGAAACAAAGAAGTGCGTACGTATTAAAAAGAGCAACACAATTTGTTAAAGGAGCACTGTTTGCTTTTTCTGTCCTTCATATCTTTTTTTTTTTCCCTTTGCGTCAATGGTGACATATTCATAACCGGACGCTAGACACAAAATTTGCAAGCGGTGCTAGACAGCACCTAAGATGTTCGTAAGGATGTGAACTGCCTGAGGGCAGTAACGTCGGTGTAGCAATAAGGATGTCGGCGAGTTGGGAGAGAAAGTGAACGGGAAGGTCAAAGGCCAACTGGGAGGAAGCGGGAGAGGAGAGGTATTAGCACTGTAAGAGAAGGCAGGCGATGGAGGCCAGAAGGAGCCACGGTGATTGAGATACGCAAGCTGAGCCGTTGATGTCTCGGCCTGTTCCAGGTCCTGTGCGCACAAAGAGAGAGACAGCCAGAGGAGAGAGCGCTCTGAAAACTGTGTCTTGTCAACATCATATCAGAATGTCTTTGACATGCTTCAAAGATCAAAATAGACGAGAATTGAAAAATGTGACCATGACAAACACGCATATTCAATTAAATTGTGCTTACTTTAATTGCTAGATAATTAGTGTGTTGTTGTTTCTTTAAATCAAGTTCCGCCATTAGTTTTTGCAATTACTGTATATGTAGTTTGAGAAAAGACAGTTGGGACGCTCCCAGCAAAGATGAAAGACTGCATTAACAGTATTTTTCCACCAGGTGGCGGCAAAGACGCAGTAATCTCCACCCAAGTTAAAGGAAATCCTGAAATAACACCCCGCCCCCCAACTTGTCACTAATTCAGCAATATTATAATTTTGCGTCGAAAATCAAGAACGAGGACTTAAATCTCACGAGACAATGTTACCTTTATATCATTACTCATCAACTTGAATGACGGAGGCATTTTCAGAGAGCTCAGCGGGAGTTTATGGCTTGCCTGGATGCTATTACGGTCAGAAGAGAGAAAAAAATAGCCTTGATACTCACTGTAGAGAAAGACACTGGAATTTTGGACACCTAGTCGGTTTGAGGCCACACAGGTATATTTCCCATAATCCTCTTCAGTGACACTTGAAATTGTAAGAATAGTATAAGTGCCAAGGACTTGGATATTGAGGCCCTGGGCATTGGACAGCCTGCGGTTAGGAAAACAGATCAAACAAACGGGATTTAGAGAGGAAGCCAGAAACAACTTTTTAAAGCACGACAGCATATTAACATAACAGAATTTTTAAAAGTCATGTAGAAACTGGTCTTCTTCAAACACTTGGCAGGTTTTTGCAAGCGTTTACGTGCTGCTGACATCCTGACTTGTAACACCGAGCTTCTGACACGTCGTTATGTGAATTTTGAAATGCAATTTAGTGCTGAGGAATCAATACAATTTGGCAAGTCGGTTGGCACGATGGACCGTACACCGATGAGCTAACCTCTTGCCACGATGCCACCCAACTCAATTAGACCGCCAACTTAATGGATCCTGTACTTTCCGCACCGATCAAGCCCCTCACATGATTAAGAAGAGTTCATTGAAGGTGCGTCCACTTAATCCGGCTCAAGTGTGGCTACTATAAGGCACCAGAAGTCTATGCTGAGCAAAAACATAAAGAAACCCATAAAGCTCGACTCACTTCCGTTGGGAGGCTGAATAAGAAAAGCCAAAGTAAAAGCACGCAGGATATTCTTTTCAATCTAAAAACTGCCGCCAGCAGTCTCATCTTCATGACAAGAGGGCACGATGAAAAACATGCGCCATCAGACGGGCTGAGACAACCAAACAATTCACAGCACCGCAAGGAGATGAAAACGATATGCACGACTGAGAACAGATGACGATTGTAAAACGGTAGCAGCGGGAATGAATTGAGTCAACTCATGTGAGTCAGAAGGGAGTTTGGACACTCTGTTTTGCCATGTGGCTATACTACTGCAATTGAATTATTAATTTGCCCCCCCCCCCCAAAAAAAAAAAACAACACTGCTTATTATCACCACAGTATCCCAGGAGTAATCTTCTAAACAATAAATTTGATTTCATGTCTACAATTCCGTAGTGAGATTTTTTTTTTTGGGGGGGGGGTACTGAGTGACGATAGACAGATTGGCGGATCAGTGAAATTTATTGACGGAAGTGTGATAAAAATAACATGGCAGAATGACCGACTGACGTTTACAGATTGGTTCAGCTTGAAAAAAAAAAAAAAATGACGGATTGATGATGACAGACGGGTGGGTGCCCAGGCCCGCTCACGGATAACAAATGACGGACTAGCAAAATATTGTAAGTTGCCCACCTCTGAATAGGAGTTACCCCATTGTTAAAAAGGAAAACAAATATCAAATGGGCACTAAGATAAAAGCGGAGTTAATATTGTACAGGGTAAAGCAGTAAACTGGAAAATAACCTAAAGAGTCACTCATCAATTGGATTACTATGGTGCATTACTATAAATGGCCAAGGAGAATTTTTTCTCCATGCACATTGAGATAGAACTGTGAAGAGGCACATTGCCAAAATCCTGCAGGGGACAAAATGATGTCTGGAGGTTGACAACCGCAGCTAATGCAAAATATTTTAATGGCCATAAATCTTTCTGTCTGTCCACTTGCGTGATTGGCCTATTACATGAGAGACTTGATCTGTGATAACATTTGGTGACGGCTCCTCCAGCATCTTTCTTTTCCGCCTTTTTCAAAGTTCTAATGCGGCACTTTTGGTCGAGCAAAAAGATGGCACATTCGCAATGCGAATGGAGGGAATTTGGGGTTACTTCACATTGAAATACGATGTCCCAGCTGTCGTTATAAAGTCATTACACTTCAGTCCTTCAGACTTACATTACACTTGAAACATCAGCTTCTCCCGCACAATTTGCACTTTCACAAGGGAGCGAGTAAGCATTTTCTATGTGTCAAGTCTGGCTTCCATTACAGTGAAATAACTGGCTTGCTTCAAAAACTACCGGTTTTACACTATAATGTGAGTATAAGCATTCCACAGAGGTAGGAATGAGTCATGGGTGCGAGTCACAAGCATGTGATAAACGGGGGTAAAACCCCGTGCTGTGTAATTAAGCGTGTTTTGACTGTGTGCAATTTGCATCTGTTCGTGTCATCGCTATGGCAGTGGATAATCATTTTCAATCACCGTCATTTGAAATTGGGAGGTATGACTGGATGTGATTTTCAGAGAGTTACCTTTTCTCATCCCTGAACCATTCAAATTCGGGTGTGGGCACGGCGGTGGCTTCACATCCCAGCGCCCCCGCGCGGCCGAGCTGGGCCTCGGCGCTCTGGGTTTTCTTTATTGTTGGAGGGTCTGCACAGGTGCGGGATATGAACATCAGTTACATTTACATGCCTGCTGCCTCAAAGAAAAGACGACACTGACAGTGCAGCATCTCATCAAATGTCGTTGGAAATGACGATGCGTGGCATTTAAGTCACCAAAAAGTCGATTGCAAGCAGAGTTTTTAATCGACGGGACTGAAGAGTGCTTTGAAATGTTCACACCCTCCCACGCTCCCATCTGTTAGTCTCAACTCTTTCCTTCTTGACTTTATTCTGCCGCCGAACATTGGAGATGAGTCACGATGAGTACAGTATATCGGTCAATGCTTCCACGCCATTACTTACAGTTCACGATCACATTGACGTATTTGACATCAGGTGTGGCAACGTCATTGCTGGCCTTGCATTCGTAGCGACCTGCTTGGGTTCGCGTGATGCCGATGATGTCCAGGTATTCCTCTCCATCCAGTGGCTCGGCTGTACGGAAACGGACACGGGAGATGCAATGAATGAGGTATGTTGACTTTTACATGCTTTAAAGCACTAGCTTGTGTCAATATAAAAAAAAAAAAAAAAAAGAGAAGTCCTGATTCAACCCGAGGTTACGTTCACACTGCAGGGCGTGATGCCCAATTCCGATTTTTTGGGCTAAACATGATCCCGTTATGTATTTCTTCACGACAAAAACAAAAGCGACTTCTGATGTGAACTCAATTGATTGACAGAGATGTTTTCATGCATCATGAACCCTTTCAGGGACAGCGGTTACTGCAGTGGACAGTTTATCATGTTATCGTTATTGGTGAATGAAAGGGTTGAATTTTAAGGCCTATGCTAGTATTTGCACAGCGAGACTGTAGTCAAACGGTTTGCCTCAACGCTTCAATTAATAGCGGAACGATATTTGCAAATGTCATAAGCAGCATGACCATCTGTTTTCTAGACTATTTTGAAAACGGTCACGGGGGAACTGGAGCCTATCCCATGCAGCGGACCCCAAATCTCATATGACAGGTTTAGTACAGATGTTCTGTTTTGGTAAAAGTAAATGCAAAAAGCTCGTCGTATATGTCATACAATCAAAGCGTGAATGGATGTGATTTACTCCCTAAAGGACCATTTCAAAAACAAGGTCGCACTTCCCACATTTTTGACCACATTGCGGTCGGCTAGAATACAACATCCTGCATAACGGCGCATTATCTATTCATCATGATCGATTGGGTAATCTTGTCTAAAGGGAATTGGGTGTGAGTGTGTGTGCAATTTATGTGCGTATGGGGCCCGGCCGGCCTTGGTATGAGGAAGGAGGCTTAATGTCTCTCTGGAGAGTTTGGAGCATGTATGCATGAATGGGCAAAAAGACACCTTGAAGGTTTCCAGGGGACATCGAAGACTAATTCAAAGCATGCACATTAGAAGAGGCTCATGAAGCCGGGAATTATACTGCACCACATCTATATTTCACCGCTAATCTGGATAAAGGAGCAAGTATGTGTGACGGCAATGGAGAATGAGGATGGCAGGGTATTCAAGGCAAGGGAAAACAGAATGATGACATAGTCAGAATTCATCTCGTCGAGGATCAAGAGCCATCGCTTATTTTCAGCCGAGGAAAGCTTTCAACACAAAATACATGACGAAACATAGAATATTTGACTGGCACCAACCACAAACTGAACCACTGGTGTCCCTTTGCTTTCCTAACGATATCGACTGAAAATGTTGAGCAACTCAATGCTTGATCGACAAAATGCTTTATTTCAAACACGAAAACAGTAACTTTTTGCAAACAGCCTTTCCTTTGCGAGTGGATGTCGGTCCGCTTTCTGTCAGCCAAAACGCAGTGTTTGCTGGGTGTAATAAGGAATCACACACATGGCTTTTGTTAGACCTTGACAAAATCATTCGATGGCCTTAAATTTCAGAGCACACGGTGAGAAGGTCATGATTGCAAAGAGGTATTTTCGACAGGGGGTGCTTAACTGCTGGGTCACAACGTAATCCTTATCATCCTGAGATTTTTTTTGGCTTTGTCTCCTGTGGGGAATGCAATCAAGAACGAGAAAGGCGAGGTGACTGTTTTTTTTTTTTAATATCTGTTTGACACTACTGTTGCATATGCACCATAAATGTTGTCCAACAAACTAATTGGCTTCCAATAACAGTTTATTATCATTTTCATTCTCTGGCTTTTGACTCAGCGTGAGACTTGATTTTTAGTTTGACTGTTTTTGTGCTTTCTACTGTCTTTGTTATAAATTTATTGTTTGTTGTATGAATTATTTTTGCTCCATGTACAGCACTTTGTATAGAGCGGTGGTTGTTTTAAAGTGCTCTCTGAATACAGCTGAGTTGAGTTGAGAATTGTGGCACACACACACACACACACACACACTGTACTGCACATCCCACGCCCTAATTTACTTTGTATTGTATATACAGTACAATAAAGATACTTGCATTCCGATCTACAAACATCTGAAGAAGAGGAAGAGTGATTACTGGGAGTGATTTGACCCAGATGGCTCTGAGAGGGATCTGTTAGCACCTCACTTTTCACTCCCGCAATCGGAAAGCTTGCCATATAGTCCATCACTGCTGCCCTGGAACTAAATGATGTGTGACTATACACAACTACAACAATTACACCAAAGCAAGCAGAACAGCTCAACACTTGTCTCATTCTCTGCTGGGAGCCATCTACTGTACATGAGTATGCAGTATGTGACCTGATAGTCTGTTTCGCTTTTTTGCTTGTCAGAGAGCGAGATAAGGAGCAGAAAGAACCGAACATCCTATTGAGGGCGATGTGAGAGCTATGGACAAATGAGAAAAGGATGGCAGGTTGTAGTCACTGAGAGTAGAGTGCTTCATTTGCTTGATTCCCACTCAGTGGCATTTTGAATGTGAGTGTGCACAGTTGTCTATGTCTATACGCGCTCTGTGATTGCCAGGTTACTAATCCAGAGTGTCGTCTAGTGCTCAAAGTCTGTTGGGATAGGCTCCAGTTCCCTGCAACCCTGAACAGGAAAAGCAGTATAAAAAAATGATAGATGGTGAAGTGGAACAGCAGACGAAGAGAACGTTTGCCAGATGAGGTAATAATCCAGGGGGGGGGGGGAATTCTTGTAAAACCTCTCCTGGAAAGTGGCCGATATTTGCGATGGCCTGGCTTTGGAGAGAGGTCAAGGGCACTCAGCATCAAAACTCAAAACGCATGCCCTGCCAAGAACCATTCTAAAAGGTTTAGCACTTCAATATTCAGCTGTATCATTGGGCGAAAGTGATTGGGCTATGGTCCAAATCTGTTCATTTGGGCAGATGTCATTGTTGCTGTGGCAAAGATTCCGAGTTAAGCCATACACTCGTGAAGGCCTGGCACTTGCTCAAGGGCACCTGGTCAGCAAACATGACTGCTGGTGGACACTTAACAAGCGGTACGAGACCGAAAATGTTTTTGCAGACATGTGGCTGGCGCTCTCCACAGAATTGCGATGAAGTGAGTGTCAGTGTTTATGACTTGAATTTAAATGGGCTCTGACTGAGTTTTCTCTATAAGCTGCTGACATGTCCAGATGTGTCTTTGCCTGAGTGGATCAAAGGATCAGTGTTCTTGTCTCCCCTCTGCTGCATTAGATGACTTTTTTTTTTACTTGCTCTTATTTGAAAAGCAGCCCTACTTTTGTTTAATACATGTGAGAACGTTATCCAGTTTCATTACCCTGGGCAGGATTTGTAACATGTGAACCATTCTTTGAAGAAGCACAAAGGCAGTGGCACAAGAGCGCTTAAGTGGCTTGGAGATCACAAGTATCAATGATGACATTGTACAACATTGGTCATACAAATGACCTCATAGATGATTTTGCATTTTTAGAAAATGCAGAGGTGTTCCTCTGTATATATGTTCCCACTGCTTTCTTGAAATTCTTTTCCAAGAAATTGTCAAGACTTTTTCATCTGCTACAGTATGAGTCAAGTTATACTGTATCAACACACACTAATAAATTCCACCCCCACGCTCGGGAGAAGTGTGAATTTCGACAAGTTCAACTTGTATTTTGTACATTTAACCAATGCTTCAATGTTACCAAACACCCGACTAAATTGGCGAAAAAGCCGTGAAACGATTCTCATTGCTAAACCCAAAAGAGCTGTTTAAATAAAACAAAAACAATCAAACTTGTTCACGAACGGACACTACACGAATGTACAATCTCACTTGGATGTTGACATATGAATTATGATATGAATTAAAGTAAATAAAGATGACGGGGCAGTGAATTATTAGTGGCTAATGGGTTGGCTCATGCTAGCACCCATGGCACTGCCACAGCTAGGTTGACTAACCCACGGGCGCATAACTAGCTAAAAACCACATGAAAAGTAAAAGCTCTGGTCTCTGTGCACACACACGCGCGCACACACACGCACGCACGCACACGCACGAACACACACACACACACACACACACACACACACACACACACACACACACACACTATTTTAACAGAGCTGAACTCCTGATTATTATATATATTATATATTATGTTTTTGTCATTCACATATGTTCCGTTTCTGTTGTCAAGACAATGGAGCAATTATGAAATACTGAGTGAAACAGTCAAAAGTGACCACACGCCCACGACAGCGCTCTGTCTCTCAACAGACTAGAAAGAGCGAGGGAGAAAAACCTCACACTCAACTGAAAGTTGCTAGTTTTGTCACTTTGGAGAAAAATAAATCCTAGCTTGGGTCTGAAAAGTCACTAAACAAAGTCATGTGGAAACGCAGGGCAGCAGAACTGGTCTAAGGGGTGGGGGTGGGGGGGGGGGCACTGTGCCGGCTAGAAACAGCGATGAAGCAGAAAGGCGCTACAGCTCAATTTTGCCCATACTTGTCTGTTTAACCCGTTTGCATCTCCACACAAGGCAGAGAGAGGACAAAAATGATTTTCAAGGACCACTCAAGCTTTTCCGGGACATTTGACTTTTGTTCTGATTTTACATGTGCTTTGACTGGAAAATTATGTTCGTATATTATACGTTATATTGGGGAAGACATCTAGAATGACACGCTGAATAATAAATGTTGAACCGCCAAGTTTTACCTGAGGGGTTGAGCAGCCGCCAGGTAATTAGCGGGTCTGGTCTGCCAGTAGCCAGGCAGCTGAGTGTCACATTGCTGCCCTCATTCACCGTCATATCCTCTGACATCTTGTAGATGTTTGCTGGAACTGCAGGGGGGAAAAAAGAAGCATATTTTTATGTAAATGTGCTTTTACAAAAAAACCCTTTGCAGACTTTCCCCAAACGCTTTTACACTCAGACTTCTCCATTATAAAAACTGATACTTGATATTTAAATTCAAGCAGAAGTACGGTACTTGAACATGAGGGAAGAAGAGAAGTTGACCTTGAGTCTTTTTGTTAAAGGAAGGTTTCTTAATAGCTTTGAAGTTTTTTTCTTTTTCTTGTATTTTTTTTCACTTTCAGAGCCTTTTGAGGTGCAGTTTCACTCACCATGTATTTAATTTTCTGCTTGAGGACATGAACTCTATAAAACAGACAGATGATTGTATCGATTCTTAGTTCAGACTTTCTGTTTTGGGAGCTATAATCTACTTAATATATGTGAAAGTGAAATGAAGTATACAACACTGTGTTTGAACTTCAGCAAAATGATTCCAGTCTGCAACGCAGATGAATTAGGAAAGTGCAGTTGGCTCTTTTTTGTGCGTCAGCAGATAAAGAATGGGATGCAGAAGACATATATCAAGGTTTGAACACTGTGTGGGGGAGTGGCTGGGGAATATATATCATGTCGGAAATGCAAACAATAATCTTTCACTTTGGATTTTGATAAATAGAAGCATAAAAAATACTGTCCTGTCAAGGCCATAGATTAAACAGAATCTTTCTTCTACCTCATTGTGATGAGTAGCTTTGTTATGATGTCTCAAAGTAGCAATATTTTCTCGTATTTTCATCGCCGCGTAGTCAACATTTTTGCTCCGATTTTAATAGCATCTTCTGTCAGAATGCCTGCAATTTAGCTGAACTCCAGGTGTGTTTTATGCTTGATTTCAGGCTGGGGATCAAAGTGATATTTCTATCAAAATATAACAACACAGCGAGCATTCTATAATATGTTCAACAATTTGGGCATCATTGTCAGTTTGAGGGCGTTTGTTACCTGGCTTAATTTATGAAAAAGAAAAACAAACAAACAAAAAACCCCAAAAACAACAACAGAAAACACAACACACTCCCACACCAAGTTTCTCCGGCAAAAACTTAAGACCACTATTTCCTGTGGAAATAGTCGTACAAAAATGCTAAAATAAAAAATACGGTTTCCCAATTTTACTATATTTTTTATTTCTTTATTTTGCCTTTAAATGCCATGAACACTTTTTTTTGCAACTGCTTTTAAATGTTGTCCTTTGAATTATGTGAAGCACATTGAGTTACCTTGTGTCTGAAATGTGCTACATAAATTAAGCTACCCAGAGCTACAGATTGCCCCTAAATGGTGGCATTTTGCCCTTGACACAAGCCGGTGCGAATATAGTTTTCATCTACTCGCACTAATGTCAATCGTGTGTGAATTACTTTGCGATCAAAGTTCTTGTTCTCCCATCGGTTCTGTTCAACGAGGGACTGCTTGCGTAGCTAAGTACCGCTCCCATCCCCCAGCCACGCAGCTGCATTGATTAGTCATTAAATAAAGACCTACTTTGCTGTAGCTCTGAATTAGGGGTTGGAAAATATTTATTTCTGCATTCTGAGCCACTATGACTTCAACACATGGTTAAATAAATTCATAAATCAAAAAATAACAGCAGAGACACCAGCATGGCTTTGGTGTGTTGTCATGCTGGTGTCACTGGCAAGACCGGGCAGCAAAAGCGAAACCAAACTTCAGACAAGATTCAAACAGCTCAACCTTCGGTCACTGAGCAACCTGCTCTTTGAAGTGAGAGCCAGAGCTGCCCAACATGTTGTTGGAACCCTGCCGGAAACTGGAGATCACCCATAATGAACTGCAATCTTGGTGGTGTCTCCAGCTATGAGCAGGGCAACAAAATGAAGGAAGGGATGGATTGATCTCAACTTGTATGCGTGAAAACGCTGTGTCTCAAAATCAAATGTGCCTTCCCAGTGACCACAAAAGCTTCTTGAACAATGGAGAACCAGAATGAAATATTTATAAATGGTAAGTCATTATTATTATTATTATTATTATTGTTATTAAATGCACACTCCATGTCAAACAACGTGCGTAAATCACAGATATATTTGTGAGAATAATTTTGAGACAAATTTCTCTCCATAGTGAAACCCCCCAGGTAAAAATCACAAAACAATAATCAGCCATTTATGATTCGGCAGAGTCTCAGACAGAGGAGGGACAGCACAGTTTCGTTCCTTTTGATGCTGCAGGGAGCCACTATTCAGACAGAGGAAAATGGTGGAACTTTGAGGGGTGCTGTTGTTCAAATTAATACACTGATGAAATTAGTGACAAAATAAATACAAAGCAACAAATAGCTGTCATACGGCCCTTTGTGGCGCTGCGGTCTCTTGTGTTGTGTGCGTGCGCACACACACACGCACGCACGCACGCACGCACGCACGCACGCACACACACACACACACACACACACACACACACACACACACACACGCACACACACACAGCCAAAAATGCAGACAAGATAATGCAGACAAGGTAACCATTTTGCGTGACGTGCATTATCAATATTCCTCCTGTCAGTTTATATTTTTTGCTTCTCTCCGGGGTCCCCTTTCCTACCGCCAACACTTACCCCCCCACGAACTTTAATGTGGCATTTGGAGGACTGGTAGCGGAGGAAGTGATTATGCACAGCTAATTTCGAAGATAATCCCTCGAAAACACTTGGCATTCTTGGCTATTAGTGCTTATATTCTTTACGATGCACTATTGTGGTTGCTGCTTTAGTCACCACTCAAATTTTAATAACTTCATAAATGACACTCCGATTCCATGCACATTAGGTATTTTAAGGGTTAGTATTATACCTGTATGGATGGAACTTTTTACACCCTGAGGAAACATCCTTAAAATCTATTGTTTACAGCCTTTGGATTGCTGGTTTTGGTTGGTAATTTAGTCTATAATTTTGCAGTAAAATTAGCGTGAAGCACGGGTAAAAATATGAGTTGCCCATGCATCAACCTATACTCAGAAGTGCACAGCATAAGGTGACTTTTGTGATCGAGAGCAAAGACAAAGGGCAAAAAGGGCACACATTTCTATTCAACCGCACAAAGGTGTAAATGCCAAAAAACATATATTGTAGTAGCAGTAAAAAAAACCTGCTTCAAGTTGCGACACCCAAACCCGCAACGCACTGACATGACGAATTGTTTCATTTGTCGCAGTTACATAATGCATTGCAGGTGAAGTTAGGCTTAATTGACGCTGCCGACATGTGATTTTTAGATTTATTCAGAAGGGTGAGGCGCACAATGCCCAAGGGGAGCGCATCTGTCAGACAGCCCTGCGTCACACACAGAAAATATCAAAGATGCAAAGGTTGTTGGTGAGTTCACACAAAGAGCATGGCGATGAACACGCAAATAGCACTCATCCGTATTAGAGATTAAACAGACGTTATTCTCGCCAGTAATGATGACCACTCTCTTGGCTGCTCTTTCAAATATGGGCAGAGTGGTTCACCTTCAGCCTTTGTTGATACCCCCTGTTGTGATATGTGTCAATGGAATGGCCCCGTTTCAACGCATGAGAGGACCTCTTGCAGCCAGCGTGACGAAGATTAAAGGGAATTGCAGTTTTATTTGAAAGCGATTTGTTGTAGTGCCCCCTGGTGCTTTCTCGTCTGAGTGCTACTCCCTGCGCTGTAAATTTGCTTTGTCTGATCATTTGTTTTCCAATTATTTCACCATCCCTGCAAGCGGAAAATTGTCAGCTTACGTGCTCCTCCATTTTGGTCTGTTACTGGGGGTGGGAGGCTACGTTTGGCGCCAAAGCGATGTGGCAGCTCTCGGTGTGGATGGGTCCCACGGGTAGTTTTTCCTCACCTGACTCCTCAGTGTCTTGTCATGTCTCTCCACCAAGGGCGTCCACACCCGGTGTGTTGCAGATCTAAACCAGGCAGGACAGTGGCCTTCGAGGACCGGAGCTGGACACGCCTGCTCTACGCTATCAGATAATATGTGAGTGTGTTGGGGTGTATTGGTATGGGTGCACTGTGTGTACTATTTATAGCTGGCGATTGGAGAGGTGTGTTTTGTGATATTTGTTGCCATTTTTATGGTCTGTTTTAATCTCTGGAAAAGCACTTTAGCTTGCTTTTCCTATTTATGAAAAGTGCTAAATAAATGACATTTGATTGGATGATTTGATATCTCTGTACTAAAAGTCATGAATTAAAGAAAGGGGATGCATAATACGAGGCTCAAAACGACTATTTTGCAGGTTAACCATAAGGACCGGAAGCAAGGGTTTTCATCCATCCATCCATCCATTTTCTGATCTGCTTTATCCTCACAAGGGTCGCAGGCGTGCTGGAGCCTATCCCAGCCGTCATCGGGCAGTGGGCGGGGGATACCCTGAACCGGTTGCCAGCCAATCGCAGGGCACACACAGAAGAACAACCATCTGCGCTCACAGTCACACCTCGGGACAATTTAGAGTGTTCAGTCAGCCTGCCATGCATGTTTTTGGAATGTGAGAGGGAACCAGAGTTCCCGGAGAAAACCCACGCAGAAACAGGGAGAACATGCAAACTCTACACAGGAAGGGCGGAGCCGGGATTGAACCCATGACCTCTGCACTGTGAGGTCGACGTGCTCACCAGAGCAAGGATTTATGAAACAAACAAAAAATTAAATAAATACAGAGAGGTAGAATTTAGGGATGCAGCTATTGAATGTTTATATTCAAATATTCCCCTTTTATCAAATAACGTTTATATTTCGATTGCAATTTATTGTTTAGCCCAATCTCATGTGAACATTTTTGGACATTGGGAGGAAATCTGAAGTGAATTTATGCAAGCACATGGACAACATTTCCCTGGCAATCTTTTATACAGTAATTACCAGAGATGTGGGAGGGACGAAATTTCACCCACTAAATGAGTAAACGCAACACATGAACATCAACAACACTACAGGAAGAAAATGCTATGGGACTCGGAGAGACACAGCAGAGGACAAAATAGCCAGGAATTAAGGAGGAGGAATCAATTTTTGGTTATAGTTGTCGCATTAGCTGATATAAACGAGCCTCGAGTCTGGAGATAGACACAGGACATTCAAAGATCAAGCAGTTAATAATCCGGCGCAATGGCTTTAATGAAGACAAGGCAATTTGTTGAAATGGATCATCGATTCACATATTGACCTTTAAATACACAACTAATGGTTCATATCTTCCACGTTTAGTCATACAATAGCTTCTTCTTCTGTGGTCAGCGGTTGGGTGTGTTGAAATTGCTCTGTGGCTGCTATCTGCTGTGAGTCCAGCGTTGCGTTGACAGTGCATAAGTAGTTCTTGGTATAAAAAATGTGAAATGAGTGGTGAGGGTGTCTTTGAACTCTTTGGGTATTTTGTGACATCCATTTTCTAATTCAACACAGTCTCGCTTCAAATTATTTCTGCATGGTAAATGATGAGTCTGTGTTCCTTTATATTATTATTATTATTATAGTTTTCTTAATTTTCACGAGATATAGTGGTAGCTTACCTTGTACAATGAGGTAGACCAATGAGGGCTTAGGCTGCTGCTTTGTTTGTATGGAGCAAGTGTATGACCCTTCATCATAAACATCCACCTACACAATAATACATCATGTAAGTTATACATATTTAATATAATCACTGAGGACAACATGGCAATTAATGGACGTGGGAAAAAAAATCCTCATATTTTTTTTGTGTGTGTGTGTAAAAATGTGCTTCAGCGTTATACTGTATCTGGCTGTCTCTTCCTCTGTGGGAAGTGTAGCACAGTTAACACACCATTTTAATTATTTAACGAACTAAAACTATGCAAGGTTAGATGGTCAAGTGTCCTTATCATTCCCATCAGATGATTACCTACATTAGCAATGTGTAACTCTGATTCAAAATATAGTTATGACCAAGATTACTAAACCATCAAAGAAAAATAACCCGCCATAAGCACAACAAGCAGGCCCCCCTTTCTTCACAGTCTTGCATCTTGTCTCCTCAATATCGCCGCCTCCCCTGGTCATGATTACCTTCTGTATGCGTAGGCTGTACTCAAGTTGTCCTTTGGTGACCAGATCGACTCTGGGGTCCAGAGACCACTTGTCTTCACCGGCAAAGATAATGTTTGATCGATTGAGCCAGGCCACCTTGGAGGCTTTGTCATCAACATAACACCTGTGGGCACATCAAGAGAAAGTGTCTTGTCTTATGTGTTGTGTTATAGTTGCGTATTTTATTTTACACACAGAGTAAAGCGGACACGAATGTAGCTTACCATTGGGGCCATGCTGACGACGAAGTGAGTGATTTTCAATCGAAACAAACTGCGATGCCGCTTTTTATACATCAAGCGTCGCCTGGACAAGCCCCGCCCCTCTTAAAGCCCCAGGTAAATCCAACAAACGCTATACAAATACAAATATTGTGTGTTGTATTGTACACACATTTTCTTGTGTAGCAGTTCTAATAATCCAACACATACACTCAGTAAATATGTTAATGGTACTTAAGTACTGACCTAAATTGACAGTAATAATGGCATGAGGACATAAATCACTGTGGACACTTGAGCACCATAGCAACCCGGTGCTAACTTTCCCTTGACAAGTACTGAATATATTCATTTACTTGACATTTTTTATCCTTGAAGGAAAATTCTCTTTTCCACTGAGCAAAGATTTCTGCAAAACTGCGCTTCTAGCCATTTTGTGGCTTTTTCACTTTTAATAATCCTCACCCGTAAAAAGTGCCAAGTACCGTCTGAGCCACTGCTGCTCTATAATAGTAGCATCTGTTACCCCCTACTGAATTTCAACTATATGTCACTTCGCAACATGTGATTTTCTTTTTTTATGTGGTCTCCGTTCTGAATTATTTATAACTCATAAGGAACAACTGAAAAATACATCCCCAAGTAAGAATATAGGACAATGACGGATTATAACATATTATGGCAATCTCAAACTGAAAACGTGTATCCCCTGAAGATGTTTTTAATTGTTTTTTTTTTTGAAAGGGGGGGGGGGTTCTGTTCTTCAAACAAGTTAGATCAAGCTTGGCATATTACATTCATGCTACACTGGATTTTGACAGCCTAAGAGTAAGAATAACGACAATGAGACTGTTTCTGATTACCCTAAACCAGTGGTTCTTAACCTTGTTAGAGGTACCGAACCCAACCAGTTCATATGCATGTTCACCGAACCCTTCATTAGTGAAAAATAAATATTTTTACAAATTCAAGACATTAAAACACACTTATTAAAAACCGAAAAAAAGTTAATAAAATTACATGGCATAAGTATAATTTTTAAAATTTGTATGACGTACTATTACGACAGTCACACGGTGACAATTGAGCGAACTAAATTTCCCGCAGCGCTGATTGGACAAGCAATGTAATGTGATCATCTGCAGCCAGCGATGGCCAAGCGGGTGTGTCATAACTAATTGACATCTTGAGTCGGTGTGTCTTAACCTACATGGCAGAGGCTCCGTCGAACCCCTGAGACCGATTCACCGAACCCCTCGGGTTCGATCGAACCCGGGTTAAGAACCACTGCCCTAAACAGAGAAGTGGCACACCTGTCAGAGAATAAGTCACATATTACTTCTCCATCTCACCTCCTAATGCTTCCTTTTTGGTATTTTACTCACACAGTCCCTCACAGTGGCACGCTCACGATTCAACAATGCCATTGTTTCTCCTGTCTGATGAATACCGTGCATTTTTCTCAACAGAACCTATTCGTACTGTACGTTGTAGGGAAAGAAAACAACTTTCTGTGTAGCTACTACCTGTTTTGCACTCACATAGCATGACACAAAGGAAGAATATGTTGAGCTCGCGAATGGGTGAAAAAAAGTGAGAAGATGTCACAAACAACGAGAATGGATTTTAATCAGGATCCGGGAGTGGATTTCCAGTCCATGACTCCTTCTGTCTCAAGGAGCTGCGCGTGCTGCTCTGCTCTATTCCAAATCAAAAGTGTAGATTGGAAGGGAAGTGGAGTGGGGCTTTTTTTGGCAGGTGACATTAGGTTATTCATGGCAGAGTTACAGCCAGCTCAGCCCGTGACATTGTGGGAGCTTGTTTCGGGCTTCTGATCACAGCATGAGTCTCGGCGGAGGTTCCATTTGTTTTCTGAGAACTCATTCTTTTTATTTATTTGTGCCATCTTATTTGCCAGCAACTATTGGTCCACGTTGTTTTTCTCGATTCTACAATCGACAAACTTTGTGGCAAAAACACATTTCAACCATGCATGACTCCCTTCTTATATTAAAGGTCAATTCTTATTTTCTTATGTGTCTTGATCTGTTCAGTGTTACATCAAGAGAGGGTGGCACTTATTGCAGCAGATTAAGGTCAAACAAACAGTACACCCTTGGCTGGTTTACTCTCGATCATTTGGGAAATAAACTTTGAATCCAGCCCACATTAGCTGCATGAAAATGAGATTTGAACCCCTACATTAGTAATCTGCCAGACATTATCTTGTGAAAGTGCTATGTACAAGAGCTGAAACTGTTTGGGTTGGTTTGATAGGCCATTTGCAACAAATCAAACAAGACCAAATAGATTCTTCACTGTGGGTGCATCCACTGTGTCATTATCTAATGAGCTGTTTCCTCAGCACTCACAAGTCCATTTAGAATGAATCACAGATGGGTTTGTGGCTCATTTTGTTTTGTTCCAACTTTCCATAAACACACTGATGCTGCAGTCTAAATCATATCTTACTGTTGTTGCATTGGCACATTTGTCGATATGTAAGGATGGGTTCCGAGCCTGGTACGAAACTTGCTCGAGGGCTGAATTTCTTAAAAACTGCTATATCGATAAGATCTACCCTGAGCGGTTCTGTTCAGGGTCTTTTTTTTTCCTCAAATGAATTTTCGATTGATTTAGGCTATATGAACGTTATTTTGTACCTTCGACTTCTCTTATGTCGTTTCAAACGAACAACAAAATTAATGCTTGTCCCAGATGAATGTTCACAATAAGAGGCTCGGCATCTCTCCCCAACTCTGCGCCGTGCACTAGAGCCCCCCCTGCGAATTCTTATTGTGCCAACGTAGTGCTGTGTGACTATATTCCAACATGATTCACAATATGATTAGAAAAAAGAAAAAACTTGGCGGCCCATCAGGCCTATAAAGCATAGCGGAAAACCCAGGTGAGCATAGCAGATTATTGCTGCAGCAATAATATCATTTTGGAGGTATAAGAACGTAAACATTGGATGGACGGAGACAGAAATGCTCAGTAATATATATTTAAAGATGTCTCCTTGACTAAAACCTGTGGGAAAACTCACAGACCATGCATGGTAAACCTTCCCGCAATGGAGTGGGGCTTACTGCAATATACCGTGCACTTTCCCAAGAATCAATACCGCCATAGAACCAAACGATGAGTTCTCATTTTTGTTACATCCCCACTGATAATAATATTACTGGTTGTAGAAGGTAAAGCAGAGTTTGCCTGATGAATATGTGATTTTGGCTCGCGAAAGAATTGTGAGGAAAAAGAATTTGCGCAGGGGCCAATTAAGTTGCCGATTCCTGGCCTCGATTCAAACCTCCAACCTCAGAAATGGGAAGCAGACGTGCTAACGACAACTTCACAATGCCAAAATCACCACTTAGACCTTGAGTGTAATTCAAGCCTGGGCTCACAGTTACTTGGCCCGACAAAGAGCGGAAATGCACCACCGTAAATTCAGTCTCAAATGAAACAAGCTCACTTGTAACTGATGTCCCAACACATGTATTTTTTGTTGTTGTTGTTTTTGAACAGAGTTAAGATGGTAAACCCCAAAGTAAAAGTGATATAAGTTACACACATTCAGCACTACCAATACTATATATCTGCTTTGGCAGAGGTATGTAAATAGTAACAATAGAGTATCACAGTGTTGTCCAATTTTATAAGAAGCTTGGAATCAAATGAATGGCTGATCAAATTACATGATGAGTCAGAGCCGGCCGGGGCTAAAAGTGGCTTCCAATATCATTTCTAATGAAGGAGCTTGTTTTTATACCTTTGTACTGCACAAATCAGGATTACTCCCCTGTGGGCTCATTTTCCCCATCTTATTACTTGGGTTCATAAAGATTCCATTTGATTCTGCAGCTACCAATTAGAGCATTTCAGTTGTGTTGTTGGACTTGGAAGGTTAATTGATGGAGGTGTCGACATGTGAAACAGGAAACTGACAGGCATCAGGTCAAATGAAAAGTTCAGTCGGTTCCTCTGTGATGTTCTGGGAGGAAACGGCCTAAATTACATTGGATGCTGGATTTAAGAGCCATTGGTAAAATATTGTGGAGTACAATATTTTTAGGCTTTGTTTTATTTATTTGTGATTTAGAAGCCCAGTCCCAAACATGAAACGTTTTAGTGATAAAGCCTCAGATTTGCTTGCATTATTGTTGCAGTCTGATTTCTCAGTGCATCTTTAAATTCTGTGACATCAACTAACAATTTGCATATGCATTGGAGTAGGCACATATTGTACACTGTGATTGGCTGACAACCTGTTCAGGGTGTCCTCCGCCTGCTGCCCGGAGCCAGCTGGGATAGGCTCCAGCACTCCCTGCCACCCTTGTGAGGATAAAGCTGATCGGGAAGTGGATGGATGGATGAACAAACCCTTGACATTTGACATTTGGTTTGACATTAAACTTTTCATTTGTAGCATTTTTACCATAACACACATGTTCTGCTTATTTTCTTTGTCTAGCTACCAGTTGGAAACAAAGTTAAACACTGCGGCCTACTTTTTTTTTATTCTGTCACCCAGGCAACTGTATCAAATGCAGAATGAGGCCTTCAAGCCTCTGCTCTCTCTTTGTTTCTTTTTGTCCATGTAATACTCCTGATTTGCATTTGTCAGAAGGACTTGTTATGATGCATAAAAGGTATTCTTCCTTTTTTTTTCTGGCCACTATTCTGTATCAACAGCACTACTGATGTGAAATGGGGAGGACAGAGTTATTCTCACGTCATTATAATGCGTCTTGCAAGTTCGAGTCAGAGCCGTAATCGTGGAAAGGCAGGTGTACCAAAAGGCGGGGCATGAGTGTGGGAAAGCTCAAAATGATGCTCATATAAAAAGGCACACCGGATGTATTGGAAAGCACACAATGAGATGAAACAAAATACGCGC